ATCCACCACAAAGTAATCTCGTGCGTGGGAATTAATGTCTCCCACCCCTAACCCTGCAGGAGACGGGGCCTACGGTTTATTCGTCCTTATCCGAGAAGACTAGAATATCTATCCATTTCTTGATTATAGAAAGGTAGCAAATTCTCCTCACTTATTTTAAGACTATGAGTATTGGTCCGGCCGGGGCTCGAACCCTCGACCTCCCGCGCAACACAATTCGGCGCTCTAACCAATATTTAGCTAACCGGGAGACGGTTGACCACAGGTGTTAGTACGTATTTCAGTCTCATTTCCTCTTAAGTTGGTAATAGATAAATAGAAATTCTGACAATTTGATTTCTTATTAATTTTTATTTAATTCACAAATGTAATAGGTTTTAAAAACAGGATAGATTAATTGATGAATAAATGCATGACATATTTGCACTTCATGCCAGGAATCGTTTGAAATATCAGTTCGGTACGTGAGCAGCAAAGAATGACCTTGGAAAAGGAGTATCGCTGGAATGTTGAATGATCGCTATTTCCTGAAATAGTATTTTAAACGCGTAGTAGTCAGAACATGCCAATTGTTTTTGTTCATTTCAAAGTAGTTTTTTATCGAGTTCCTTTGACTTGTTAGTTTCTGCTGCATTATCAGAAGTTTCTGTTAATGGTATTAATAGCAAATACGTATTAACGATAGTAAAACCATTTGAGACACGCTTTCAACAGACCCTCCTCCCACCAGGAACAAGGATGACGTCATGGTCTCTAGGGACAGGTGCTTTTGTGATGTCAGCACTTTAGCAACGCAAAGGACCTGGAACCGAATCTAAAGTTAACCTAGTCGTTAGACTAATACGCGAACATGGAAGGAATCTACGACTGATTTAAATTCAACTCGATCTTACCTTTTATTTAAATTTCTACCTTTGTCTTTAGCGTGAAAAGGTTTCAGATGAACGGGCTTTCGTTTTCGGAGATCTGCTGTCTGTTCTGCTGTCCGCCTTGTCCGGGAAAAATCGCCGCGAAGTTAGCCTTTCTTCCTCCTGAGCCGACATATTCGCTTCAAGATTTGGGCGATGGAACTTTCGGTCTTCATCTCACAGAGAAAGCCGAGTGGCAGTACGGTCAGAAGGAGCTAGACTGTATCGAGGTTTTCACAGCGAAAACAAGCAAAGGGAATCAGATCGGTTGCATGTACGTGAGATGCTCTCCGAACGCTCGCTTCACAGTACTCTTTAGCCACGGCAACGCCGTAGACCTTGGACAAATGTCAAGCTTTTACGTTGGTCTTGGATCGCGGATTAACTGTAATATATTTTCCTACGATTATTCTGGGTACGGTGTTAGTCAAGGAAAGCCCTCGGAGAAGAATCTTTACGCTGATATCGATGCTGCCTGGCAGGCATTACGAACAAGGTACGGAATCAGCCCCGAGAATATAATTGTCTATGGTCAAAGTATAGGCACTGTTCCTACTGTAGATTTGGCTTCAAGATTTGAATGTGCAGGAATCATTCTTCATTCACCGCTTACATCTGGAATGAGAGTAGCTTTTCCCGAGACGAAGAGGACGTGGTGTTTTGACGCATTTCCTAGGTAAGAAGTTTACAAAACTCAGATTATAGAATTAGTATATCTCAAATCGAGACCCGTTGAGCGCTGTAATCAGAAAATCGTTTATTTTTCTTCGGAGCATTTTCTCAAATGACAAATTGAATTGTATGACATTTTGACGCATTTCCTGTTCTAACTAAACTAATACACATTCGATTCTTCTAAGGCTCTTCAAAATGTTTGAAATACTGTCTTCTTCAGATGTCCTTACGTGAGCAGTGTCTTTCTGCTAAAAATATTTCAATTCATGCAATGTACAATGAAAAGTCTCAATCGAAGTGCTTTCCAATCCAACCCGGATTAGTGTATAATGAACATTGCTAAAAAATCACGGAATTTGAGCTTGCACTTCGTCCTTTGCGCTGAACGAAATCATATATTTAGTTGAAGTTGATTATTTTGTCGAGGTTGTAGCCAACACCCGTGGCTTACTTAAAACAAAAAAAACAAATTTTGTTACACTGTCATGCACAAAAGAAAAATGTAAATAAATCAACACTTGGATATAGGCATGGACCCGTTTCTTGTTTGGGAAACTGAAAATCGAGGTTATTGAAATGAAATTAAAGCCAAAGGAGAGGGAAGAGCTAGTTTTTGACACCTCAGGGAAATAAATATAACTTATTGGTTGATTGCTTCAGTTCAACCAATTTGTCTTTACTTGAAACAGGTCTTTTACATTTGAGTAATAACTCATATATCTTTTGAATCAGTGAAACCTTAGGTTTTTTTGGAAGAGAAGGTCAAGGGTGTTGTGAACATCTATATATGTAGGATTATATGATTTCAAAATAATATATTTTTTCGAGATACTGACTCCTACTAACAAGGTTATACAATTTATGCAGCTTTAAGAAATTCAGTCTGAAATCAATCAATGGAAATTGCTATCCATGTAAACCGTTCATAACATAATATATTTCTGAAATTACTTTCTGGAATAAAATATTAGCATGTGAAGTACCCAACACGGAGTTTATTATGGCCGCTCATCTTAGTATGGACCGTGTGCAAAGGAGTTTTAACTTTGTGGATGGTGTGGATGAGAAAAAATTATCCTTAGGCCTACTTAAATGTTCAACATAATCTATGTGTTACAATTTGTTCAATCTTTTGGTTGTCAGATCATGGAGGATTATTGATTGTTTGAAAACAGTTTTAAGATATCAATTACAAAGAAACTGATTTGGCAGTATGTTAGTGTAAACATTATCCATGCTAAATGTGCTTTAGAACTAAACATTGTTTCTCTTATAAAGTTTGAATTGTTAATTGTTGACCATTAAAAAAACAATTTAAGAGTTAGGAAACAGGGAAACAGTCTGACCAAACATGATCTATCTTGTCATTGATAGCAGATTTTAACAGTTTTGGATATTGTTATTGCTCATAAATTTTATCATTGTCTTTGTTGCATGGCAATATCATTATTCTCAGCAAACAATGTACAATATTAATGCATTGTACACAATCATGGGAACATGAGAAAGAAGTTGTTTTTGATAAAGCACAAATATCTAAATTTGCAAGAACGATTATTTTAGTTGAGTTAGTTGGGATCAAAATGTAAACAATTTTTGTTATTAAAGCATAGCACAGAGTGAAATTTGTTTGGTAGCAACACTGTTTTGCTCTAAATAATGGTTTAGGCAACTTATTGTAAATCACCAAGTGTGTGCATACCAACCCCTTATTATTTTGGTAAATTAGTTTCTTTTCCTTAAGAGTGGCTCTCTGGAGGTTTCCACTTATTTGTGGTGTGCCCATTGATCAAGTTTTACTTTTCCTTTTGCAGCATTGAAAAGGTCTCCAAAATTGTTTCGCCAGTGTTAGTCATTCATGGAACAGAGGATGAAGTTATAGATTTCTCACATGGATTAGCTATCTACGAGCGATGCCCCCGTACTGTGGAGCCTCTCTGGGTAGAAGGTGCTGGTCATAATGACGTGGAACTCTATGGTCAATATCTGGAGAGGTTGAAACAATTTATACAACATGAACTAGTGACAAACTGACATGTTGAAAGGCAACATTTTTCAAGCACTATACAATGTAGTTGCTATTAGAATACTGTTAGTATTAATAAGTTGTTTAGCTTTTTAATTTGTATCAGTGAATTTGTGTGAACAGGGACATTCTTTGGAAACTGATTGTTGGCATAGACCTTTAAGCCCTAATATCATTTAATGTAACGATTCTTTTATATACATGTGCATGCATGTCTCCAAGAATTGTTAAATAGTGAAATGCATTTTTTGTAACATTATTTTTCATGGTTTGTGACGAAAATTCATAATACATTAATTGTTTGGGCTTCAAAGGTTAATGTTAGTAGTTGGTGTATTTCATCTATAAATAAAAATGTTAACTGTTCACTATAAATCATTAAAATTTTTATTTTAAAGGTAATGAAAGTTGTTCCTTTAATTTGTAAGAATTATTTTTGTAAATGGTCTCCATATTCATTTAAATCTTCACTGTAAAGACAACAGTGTGTTTCATGCAACAGCTATGTAGTGTATTAATTCAATTTTGTTCTTTGGTGGTATAATTTAGAACCAGAAGTTTATCAATATATATTATTTTCCTTCAATTTATCACTGATTCATTCTTGAAACCTTAAGTCCAACGTCATGTATATATAAACCCAGAATTGTTCAATTTCTACAACTAAATAAAGTTTGTTGGAACTTTGTTTTGGCATCAGTCCCACTTGATCATTTCAAGGAATGAAACTACATTTAGTGTAAGTAAGTTTTGATAGTTGTGTAAATGGGTCATAAGTGGAATAAAATTTTGGAAATTACAAATAATTTGCCATATATAGACTTAGTAGTTGTTAACATGTAGTTTAATATTTATAAGGAGCACTATCTATTGAAAGAGGAGAGGGTCAATAACTATCAGTAACTATGATTATTGATTTCTTTTTTAGTTCACAAAGTAATTTGGTATGGATTTTTAAGTCTAAGGTTTTCCTTTGTTTTTTTGGATGTTTGAGATTTGAGTTGGGAGGTAATTCAGAGTGATTGGTTCTTTGTAACAAATGTAAACCATGTTATCATCAATAATGTCCTTATTTCTAAGGAGTTGAGCCAATGATTTTTAAATATCAAATACATTTGTCCCTTGCAAATTGCTGGATATAAAAGTACCACATTTTTTTTAATTTCTTACATTAATGCAGTTTTTTCTTCTGATGGAATAACATCAGCTTCTTATATTCTGAAATGGTTTGCATTGTAGAAGATACTGGTAATCTTTGTGCAATCTGTTACTCTGTAATGAATAATTACAAACCTTGTAAATAGGATATCTTTGTTTTTGAAGCTTGGGAATTCTCTTGCAATAATTCCTTATAAAGTCACTTTTGTCAGCTAGCTACAATCATGTATACAATACAAAATGAATAAAGACTATTTGTGAACATTGGGATGTACATTTGCCATAGGTTGTAATTTTCAGGACTTGAAGAATAAAAAGGCAGCTTCATATCAATTCAATCCCACATGGCAAGCAGGGTTTGCAATAATCTTTCCAGCCCTGAATCTTTTGACACAGATTTACAGACAGCACATCCAACTCTTTCTGACGCAGTTAGAACAACTATTCAGCAGCTCTGTTTTAGGTTGTCAACCTGTAATAAGTGGTGGATTGTCAAAGTCCCCCAAAATTTCCCCCTCCATTACCACAATTTTCTTCCCTATTTGGCAATAGTTGCCCCCATTAATTAGGTCCCAACTGCCTCCTTGTTTCGTTTTCCACCTGTATCGAATGGTCACTTAAGGGCTAGTCTCCTTCGCAGCCGTTTTTTTAGGGAATGTCACGCAACGCTCCACCCAAAGAAAAAGCGGAGCGTTGCGTGACATCCCAAAAAACGGTTGCGAAGGAGACTACCTAAGGGCATGATTCAAATAAAACTAAGAATAATCTTCTGAGTAAATTCTAATCTGTATTTACACCCAGAAACAATGTTAGTAATATTTTTGAGCGAGTCCCTACTCTGTGGAACCTGTATTAAGCTGCACTACCAGTTTCTGGAGCTCCTCTTGTACTTTGAAAGGTTACTGTGGGATGTCAATCATTCTTTAGAGGGACTGCCATGCCATCACTGTAAGTGGGGTCACTAACACAATTTTACACCATCACATCACCAAACAAGGCCGATTGCTGTTAACTCAGGGTTAAATTTTAATCCAGGTTTCTATATTTTGCTGTTCAAATGCCGTTTTGGAATAATTTTCCCTATTATTTTTAGAGCATTCAGTTATCAAATTGTAAAAAAAAAGCAATAAACTGAATTTGTTCCACAAGCTTTCAGATCTAAAATCAAATTTCACATTAACCCTAGGTTATCTTAACCTGGCTTTGAACAGGTCCATAATTGCACTGTCATGTTCTTGGATCCTTCAGTTACTTTTCATAGAATTTTTTCATCTTAAAGGGATTAAGGTAAAAGCTTGAGAAAGACTTTTCCATCCAACTTGCCGAAACTCCCCATCCCAACCCCCAAAGAAACCAAAGAGAATTTGTTCATCCACTGTCCTTCGACTGATTTAGAAGAAATTCAATCGGTCTGATTTTATATTCCTCTTTCTCAACCTTTAAAAGATAGATGGAGAATTACAAGTCTTAAAGAGGTATAACTTAAAATGTCCACGGAAGTTCCATATCTTCGACTGCATGACTTGTTTTGTAACGCAATGATCAACACTAGTCACGCATTTAGTGAAACCATGGTGAGGCAGCAACTCTCGGTATTCTAGAACTTTGCATCAGCCAGACGGAAACAATGGCTGGTCGGAAGAAAGATGGCATTGATGATTTAGCTACATTGTCTGAACTGAATGAGGAGATAATTATCCGTGAACTGCAAGCTAGATACAATCAAGATGTCATCTATGTGCGTATTTTTCCTCTCAAGTACTTGATGGGTTGTTTTTGCAGATCATTTTTTGAATCAGCTGATCAGAGTTATTTTGGGAAAGTTAATGCGCTTAACTTTAAGTTGAATTTACTTCCCTTGTTTATCACTGTCTAATTCTTTCATTTTGTTGAAATTTCACAGACTTACGTCGGCGACATTCTTATCGCACTCAACCCATTCAAGCCTCTGGAAATTTACCACAAAAGTGTAAGGTTGAATATCCCTTGCAAACTAAGGATCGAAAGTCGAAGTTATCATTTATTTAAGGAAATAAGGAAATACACCTGTTCAAGAGTATATCCATTTGCTTCTCTTTATTCGAAATTCGTGTAACGAAACCCAGTGTAGAACCCAGTCCAGAACCCTGAGAATTTAATCCAGCTCGATCAATATTGCGGCTTTCATAAGCGAGCAGTCATGCAGTATGCAAATAAATTTTATTCCAATTTCTTTGGGTAGAGATAACCCTTAGGTACAAAAGGCTTTCAAATTTTATTTGCAGACTCTGTTTAATTAGCAGAGAAAAAGTAGCAGAAAGTTTAGACAGTTTATGGTGTTAATATTACAGGTAGTTGTTTAAGTCACCTTGTACTGAAATGAATCTGATCAAAACATTCTTCTACTCTCCCCTGCCCCCTCTTCCATTGATTTTCGCTAGAAGTGATCCAGGGATCTGCCAAGTTCTTATGGGTATTAAGTAAACATACATTACTCTGACAGTCAGGTTAACTGCAATTTAATTGTTATCTTCAAAATTTGGATTATTTGCATACTACTTTACAAGTAAGCCGGCCGTTCAACTAGACTGTGCTGGCTGTGCTGACAAATAATGATACCCTTTTTGTTCCTAGTTTCATAGTTCTCAGCTAACGTTACATGAATTTAGGTAAATATTCAATTAGAGTTATTTCATGCCTGAATTTTTAACTTTCAAGTACCTGTGAGGTACTCAAAGATCCCATTGATAAAGATTCTTGGTCTGATCAGGCATACAATCTCCCTGTACATATATCTTATTAACCAAGCGCGAGGGCCGTACTGGGAGAATATCGGCCCGAGGTCTTGACAGTACGGACGGAGGTCCGTACAAAAAAAACCGAGGGCCGATATTCTTCCAGTACTGTCCAGAGCAAGCTTGGTTAATCAGAGATTTATTATACGACTGAAGTTCAAAGGGACACAAGTGCAGTATCATTCAGGACCATTCGGAACAGTGCGCGGACCAATACTGAGAATATTGACCAGCAATGGAGCATTTCGATTGGTTGATTTTAGTTATTGGCCCTCTGACTGCCCAAGTCGTGTAATAAAATCAGTTACTAACATTAACTTGCATGCCTTATTGTCAGACTGCAGAAACATACAAGATGGCACAGAAATCAGCCCAGCCCCCTCATATCTTTGCAATTGCCAACTCCGCCTATCAAGCAATTCTGGGTGTGGGAGGAGCAAGTCCTACAGGCCAGTGCTGTGTAATAAGGTGCCCAAACATTTTCCTATAGAATTAATGTAGTTGTCAGTCTTCTGTGAATTGTTTGATGGAAGGTGTAACATCAGTTGATTAATATGGAGATTGAAGATCTAGACTATTGATTTGGATGACATTTTCCCTCTGAAAAGAAAAGTAGATTCTGGGTGACCAGATGGGCATTTCCTGCAATTTGGCCATGAAATGGTTTGTATGAATCCAAAATTCCACAATGAAAATTGGTGGTTTAAGTTTCTTCCTTTTTTTTTTTTTTTTGTAGCACTTAATTTTTTTAAGGTCAAAGCAGTGAATCAATAGTAGGAAAGACTGTGCAAAAGCCATGAAAAAGTTCATCTGATCTATTTATTTCCAAATTTCCAGTGCTTATTGAAACTTAAGCCATGTGGAAAAACTTGCATCTAATTAATTTACAATTCAGTAACTTAAAATCCAATAAAATTAATTATTTTGTAGTGGAGAAAGTGGAGCAGGGAAAACAGAATCAGCAAAACTGCTAATAAGTCATCTTGTTGAATTGTCAAGAGGAACTTCTCAGTTAGAACAACAGATCCTTCAGGTACATTGCACTCGTATTTTATATTGTTTTTAAGGGAGAGTCAAAATTCCTCACAACATAATTCTTCAGAGGAGAGGAGGCATAAATTCAGCTCAGAAATCATTGCAGCTATGATGAGGTTCATTGTTAGGTTCCAACAATTTCTCTTTGTGTTCCTTATTTTTTATTAAACCATAGGTGAATCCACTGCTAGAAGCCTTTGGCAACGCTCAAACTCTAATGAATGACAACTCAAGCAGATTTGGAAAGTATATCCAGCTAAAATTTCAGCAAGGCATGGGTAAGATAATTGGTATAAAAAAACTGTCAAATGATCAAACAGTTTTAGGTAGACAGGCAGTCACATTGGCAGTCATAGGTAGTCAGCAGTCAGTAAGCCAGTCTGTCACTCCATCCATTAGTTTTTCTGCTGGTCTAACACTTCATCTGTTAATAAACCAATGGGTTTGTTCATGCATCCATCTGTTGGTTATAGTCCTCTAGTTTGTCGTGAGTTAGAAAGTCAGCCCAGTGAGCCAGCCAGACATTAATTAACTGCTGGTATTTTAAAGTCAGTCCATTAGTCAGCTTGCCAGCCTGTCAGAGAGAAAATAACACCATCTGCTGGATAAATCACTATCAGATAGTCATAGCACAGTTTGTATTGTTTACACCGATATCCACTGGATAGCAATTTATGGTGTTATCCACCTTTTGAACAGGCGGGCATGTACAGGTTAGTCCATCAGTCAGTCCATCAACTAGTTAGTTGGCCAGTCAGTCAATCAGTCAACTAGTAAGTCAAGCAGTCATTTATTTAAGTGGTCAGTCAGTTAGCTTGATGGTAGCCAGTCATGCAGTAATGTTCAGTCATTCAGTAAATCAGTCAATCAGAATAGAACAAAATGGAGGAAGTGAGGTAGGCAAAAATGAAGGGACATAAAACACTGTGAGATAAAATGATATTGTGAGAATACAGTTACGATTATCAATGATTGCGATTTGAAACAAGGACGTTTTTCAGTCATTGGTGCTAAAATTTCTGAATACCTTTTGGAGAAGTCCCGTGTTGTTCGACAAAGCAGAGGAGAGGAGAATTTTCACATCTTCTATTACTTATTCGCCGGGCTTTCAGCTGATGAACATTGCAAATATGGACTGACCAGGCCAGACAAATACCGGTAAGAAATTTTCGACAAATGCCGCGTTTTAGTGTGTCAGATGAAGCACAGGATAACGTTTATTTCGCTGTTGTGCTCATCTTCAGTGAAAAAAAAAAAAGGTTCAAAGAAGCGGTGTTGCCTAGACTTGGGAGACACGATGACACCGAGTCGTTGGGTGATCGTGCTGAACTCCAGGTCTGAATCCGAGCTGTTCCTGCGTCTGCTTGGGAAGGACACACAACACTCTCACGCAACTCTCTCCTTGCCCCTTGGAAGTGCTGGGAGGGTGGTTGGGGATCGGGGGAGGGAAGGGAGGGTAAAAGACAATAGACTGGCATTGGGTTTGTTTAGAATTGCAATATTTTTGTCGGAGGGCAACCGGAATAAATTCTGGAAATTTTTGGAAATAGTTAACGAGTTCTCGAAAGTAACATTTGAATGTAACACCAAGAAAATCGAACCGTTTAAGACCGTTTAAATTAAGAGCACAGAGTCCCAACTGTAGAAGGAAAGGTATTACTATTAGACCCAAATTCGTCATTATATATATATATATATATATATATATATATATATATATATATATATATTAAAACTAGTTGATCATAAAAACGGCAAAAAAAGTGTCATTAGTTCGCGATTGAATGACGACTGAAACAGACCATCAACAAAATGTATAACAAGCCTGGGGTTCACTTTTGATATTACATCTGGTTAAGGTTTTACTTTTAAATCGAAAAATAGTTATCTGTGCGATGGAACAGCAAGTCTGAAGAAAGTCACGAAGAACAAAATGATGTTTAATGAGCTTCTCAATGCTATGGATATGGTTGGGTTCCTTGACGAGGTAATCTGCCACGCGTTTTTTGTTCTTTTTTCCTCATCAGTAAGGCACATGTAGAATGCTCTTTTTTAGCCACTCTTACTCTATCAATCTGGCTTTCACTGCCAAGGGTGTGACCACAATTTATTACACGACTCGGGAAGTCAGAGGGCCAATAACTAAAATCAACCAATCAAAATGCTCTGTGCCGGTCAATATTCTCTCAGTATTGGACCGGGCACTGTCCCGAATGGTCCCGAATGATACCGCACTTGTGTCCCTTTGAACTTCAGTCGTATAATAAATCTCTTATTAACCAAGCTTGCTCGGGACCGTACTGGAAGAATATCGGCCCTCGGTCTTTTTTGTACGGACCTCGCTGCGCTCGGTCCGTACTGTCAAGACCTCGGGCCGATATTCTCCCAGTACGGCCCTCGCGCTTGGTTAATAAGATATAT